GGTTGGTAAGTAGTAAGGAAAGCTAATGTTAATCTGTCTCTCAGATCTGTGTATTTAGAAACTATTAGGGACAATATTCTATAATTACAGCTAATTTTCCTGTTTTTTTCCTGTTTGCTCTAAAAATAGCAATTACTAAATAAGGAGCACATTGAACAGCTGACCTGCAGAACTACAGGCCCATCTCTAACCTTCCCTTCATCAGTACAGCTCATCCCTAGCTCCTCTGCTATTTTCTATTTTTATTAACAGTCTGCATCAAGTCTGTAACATCCAAATACTTCTCCTGTTCAGCTCCTGTTCAGGCATCTCACTAATTCACTCACTCACTAACTTAGTATCCTCGTATCATCGTATTCCGCTCTGTCCAGGATCAGGTCCTGGCGGCAGCAGTCTCTGCAGAGACTCCCAGACTTCCCTCTTTCTACACACCTCCTCTGCTGGGGGAGACACACAGTCCCTCCAATGGTCCCGGGTCGTCCCCTGGGCCTTCTGCAGGCGGGACGTGCCTGGAACACCTCAGAGGGAGGCATGCAAAGATCCCTGTGCAAACTCAGCTCAGATGATTTTTCAGATGATATTTCAGTTCAATGCTTTTCTGGTTTGTGTTCATTAGTTCATTCAACAACCATGTTTTGAGGTACCATGCATTGCTGCTTGATTCGTTTGCTTTCCGTCATTAAAATCTGGTTAAAAATATGTAGTTTTTGTTGAATAGAGGAAGAAATAACAATATTGCCTATAACTGGCTCAACCTCGCTCTGCTAGCTGGTCCATCTTCTCCAGTCGTTTTCCACAATGGTGGTCAGACAAACAAAACAAGCTGGTAAGGAACCAAACAGGAAATACGCATAGAGTAGAGCGGATGTAGATTTGACTAATCAGAGGCCTCCTGTCTGCCGTCATAATTTGAGAGAGATGCAGCAGAGTGTCTGCAGAAGGGGCGGGGATTATCTGCATTCACTGCGACACACACAGACGATCTGGTTTCTGAGTATAAATCAGCCTTAAGGATAAAGACTGGGTATGACAGGTGTTAGGGTGGAATGGACTCCAGTGTGCGGGCGCAGACCGCTCCGCACGGTGCTGAGACAGATGGAAGGAACAACAATGTGAGCAGTTGAGGAAGATCCAAGTATGCTAGGGGGAGCTGACATTGAGGTAAATCGGCGAGATAGGGAGGGGAAAGATTGTGAATAACTTTAAAAGTAAAAGTGAGAGTATTTTGAAGTGAATTAACTTGACAGGGAGCCAGTGGAGCTGCTGTAGGACTGGGGTGATGTGATGGAAAGAGGGGGTTCTAGAAATGATGCGTGCTGCTGTGTTTTGGACTGAAGCTGAAACGTTCAGCTTTGAATAATGTAGATTTAGTTTCCACTAGGAGGATTTCTGTCCTGTCATTATCTAATTTAAGAAAGTTGACGTGAAACAGGATTTTATTTCGTCTAACAAAAGGTTAATAAAGGAGGTGGGAGTGAAAAGTTTGTGTGTCATCTGCATAGCAGTGGAAATTAATGTTTCCAGAAGATATCGCTAAGGGGGAGAATGCAAATTATGACGAAGCAGGAGGAGTACAAATAGCAAAACTTCCAGAGTAGCTCTTAGTGTTGGGTTATGGAGTATTGTAAAAATTTTTCCATGAGATTATTCACAAAACTTGGATCAACAGGGTGGAGTAGAGCTGTAGAGCTGTTGGGGAGTAGCAGCACCAAAATTGGCACCAGCGCCCACTCAGCATGAAGTCCAATCCAAAAGACAAACACAGGAGAAAGACTTTCTATTGTTGGTTAAATAAAGGACAGTTCACTCTTCCCTTATGAAGGGCCAAGAGAGACTTCTGTTAGTTAATTTTCACTAATGACCATTTTAATGCTAAAACCTGCTCTATAGAAGCTCTAACCATTGAGTCTACCTGCTGAGTATTTTCCACATCACTGGGGGGGGTCTGCTCCATGCAGCTGAAGCTCCTCCTCCTTGATGATGCGTCCAGGATGTAAACACTGCATCTGAATGCAGAGCTGGAGGAAATCACCACGCTCGGTCTGAACACACCTTCAGGATGCTGTGGAGAGTCTGATCTCTTCCTCCATCATCATCATCAGAGCTAATGACTGAAAGAAGCTCAACCAGCAGTTCTAGGAACTCCTCTAGAACCTCCTCTAGATGATGGACAGCAGAGAGCATCCTCTTCATCCGATGTTTTGGTCAAAAGATTCTCTGGTCTGGTGAAAGTCAGACCTATAAAGAAAATCCTTGCTGCCTGGAGCAATGGTTAAAAATTAAAATAAGATACTACACTTCTGCTTCCATGAATTACAGAAGGGGTTTTAAAGATGCTGCTTTTACTGTAGCTCAGAATAATACAACTGAGCCTGCGCCTCTTCGGCTCTCTACGACCACTATTGAGCATTTTTCCTTTTGTTACGTTCACAAGTGCACTCTCACAAACAACTACAGGTGCTTGGTTCCAGGTACTTAGAGATTCACTTCCATACAGAAAGCCCACATTCATATCTTCAGGTAACACAGAGTACATGTCAAGTAATAAAATAAATTATTAAAATATATTAATAAAATAAATTCAAATAATACTACTAATACTTTCACGATAATATCTAGGTGTTACTTTATTGTATGTCTCATTCCATATCCGTTGGTTGTGCTGTTCTTTTTACGTCTCTTTGCAGGTGATGAAGCAGACTGAAGATGTTTTATCATTATCTCCCTTCTATCTGTCATGATGGGTTTCAGATATTTTGTCCACATGCAGATACAACTCAGAGGCGGATGAAAAGTTTTACAGTTTATTGAAATGTGACACTCAAAGGGACAAAAACCATAGATTCTCAGCTTGGGGAATATCCAGCGGTCAGGTGAACCGGAACCGGAATCACTAGAGGGAGATCAGAGTGATGAGTTCTAGGTCCATGGGAATTTTCAGGGCAATACTAAAATAAAGCCAGGGAAGGACTCACTGTAGATGACTTGTGGTTGCTCCTTGGTTCCTGTTTGTGGGGACTGTACAGATAAGGAGATACTTGGCTGGAGGGCAGACAGGCAGACTTGTAGTGGTCCAGAGGAGCAGCAGAGCGGACTATCAACGAGCCTTCCTGAAGTGGACTGCAAACTGAAGCGGTGAATGATTTCCTTAATCTCAGAGAGACAAATAATTCCTTCCAGGCTTGAAGGACCAGGCTAATCCAGTAAATCAGGAAATAATCCTGACCACAAAGGAGAACAAAGGGTTAGAACTTTGGATGCAGAGAGACAAAAACTCAGAAGGTTAGACTCAGCTAATCTCAGAAAGGCTAGAGTACCCAATACTGGCAAACACTCTGGCGTCGAGGTGGTGACAGTCAGCTGCTCATATACTCCTCAGGTAATGACCAAATGACCCGCAGGTGTGGGTGATAAACCAGAAGAGGGCCTCCAGGCCAACAAGGCAAAAGGGCGTCATCTAGTGGACCGATGGAGACAGTAAAAAAAAAAAAAAAAAACATCTTCCACAAAAAGAAACCCTAACACTATCTCCTCTTTCTTTCATCTTTTGTCCTTTTTTTCTGTTTTTCCTCTTCTGTTCTACTAATATTGCAGTGTCCATATCATCTGTAAAAATCCATGCATAATTATAATAAAGCAACCTATATGCGTAAATCAAGCGGAACACTATGGCGAAAGCCGTACTGCTCCATTTGTAAAAGTAAAATCTGTTGGGCTCTTTTTGGCATCAAGACAATTATTCTTATTGCCACATTGCCAGACAGAACACTGTAAAAAAAACAAAAAACTTTTAATCCTCAATATTTGTAGACTCAATATACATTTTATACATTTTATTTAGAAGGTTTTAGAAAATGATTCACTAATTTATTTAAATTCTCGGGTTGATGACTAGCTCTTGAACTCCACCCTATGAAACTCCTCACTGCCAGGGCTCGGACATCAAATGAAGAGAATCACATAAAGTCATTACTGCTGAGAGCTGGAAGACCAAACAGCTCTACAGAGCTATGGCTCCGGGTCAGTCTGACAGCTTGGGCAGAAACAATGAAAATAATCATGAAAAAAAAGTTATTGAAATAATCAACTAATTCTGTAACTGATTAATAACAAACTGAACTGTAGACTCTAAAACAAGCTAAAAGAGCAGTAATTATACCAGAATAGTAAAACATATATAAACATTTTTCACCATCAATATGCTCTATCCTCAACTCCTTGTGTGGTGCAAAGTTTTAGTTTCACTTGGTTTATATTTTGCATATTATCTTCTCTAAGGAAACTTTTCTTGATTTTTAATAAGAAATATATAGATTGATTAGCAAAATAATTGTTAGTTGCAGCCCTACTGACAACTGAATAAAAATAAAAAATACTATTATTCAATTCAATTCAGTTTATTTATATAGCGCCAATTCACAACACATGTCATCTCAAGCCACTTTACAGTGGTTTTATACACCAGTGGCTGCAGCTTTTGTGAATTTATTATTGAAATTTAGGATTATTCTAATTCTCCTCTATTCAAGCGTGAATGGGTCTAAAGCTAATTGAGCCCAAGGTAGCATTAAATGCAGCATTTAAGCTATTGCCTTCAACGTTAAAGTCCCCCACTGTGATGACCTTGTCAGTATTTAACTCTAAATCAGATAGAAACTCTGAAAACGGATCTACTGACGTATATCAATGTCACGATGGATGACGGCTCTGATTATTTTTGCACATCTTAAATTATTTCAGCAAAGAAATGCTCAAAATAATGACAAATACAAATGATCCGTGCCAAACAATGTTTAGAAAATGAACCAAAAATTCAAAACAATGTTCTTAGAGTTTATGTGAAACCTGAAATTCGACTTCCTCATCCTCTGAGCATTTTAACGCAATAAAATATATACTGGAGCTTTAGGTCAGCTCAGAATTTCATAAAAAACAATAAACTTTTGTGACTGATATAAAGCCACATAAAGAAACTTATTGTCATGATCCATGAGGTTTTATTTCTGCTTGGTGAATTAATCAAAAAGTAATTACATGAATGAAAAGCATCCAGAGCCGATGACAGAAACAGACGATGCATTCCTTTAATCATAGCAGGTAAATACAACAGAATCAAGATAAACACCATTAGAATCAGCTTGAAGGAAAATTACAGATTAGCCAAAACTTTAAAAGGCAGAAACATGAAACTTTTAGTGTTTAACTTCTTAAAATAATTCAAACAAAATGTTCAAAAATATCAACTTCATATCATAACAGCAGAACCTTTAATCTTGAACTCTTTAAACAAACATGTTTCAGTGTTTTAGCATTTTAGTTTAATAATGAACTTCAGACATTTTGAACTTAGATCTTAAGCTTCCCAACATTTAATTATTTTAGCAGGTTTACAATATTACGCCTTATCAAGTTTTCATGTAGACATTAATGCTGTTAGTAGGTTTTCCTCCAAACTTGGCCTGAAAAGATCTTAACCTGAACGTTTATGAGGAGAAGGGGTCAAAAGATGGACATTTTACCACGAATCAAACATTGAAAAGGTCTTTTTTGTGCCTTCCTTTGGGTCAGTGTTCCTACAGGCAGTTTGTTTATTTTTGTTTTACATTTTTAAAGCAGAAACTAAAAAAAAATCCAGTGTTTTCACTTATTCCAACAAACCTGATAGAAACCTGATAACAAAAAATCATCAAATTCCTAAATCTTTGCACAAAATAAAAATCTAATCTAATCTGAAGGCTCCTTCAGGGTCCCTCCATTTTTCCTCTGTACTCCTCGTCATCTACCTGTCATAAACTAATGGAATACTCTGGTTCAAGTGTTGCTGCTCAACCACAAGTAAGGGTATTCATTTAGTTAGTTTAGTTTCAAACTAAGCTAACTGTCAGATTATCTATATTTCAAGATGATAACATAACTCTGAAATAATTCCTCGTTGGATAAAAAGCTGCAGCTAAAAGTGTTTTACTTTTAGCTGCAGCTAATATTGAATTTTCAGTCTTCAGTTTATCGGCATTTGATTTTTAAATGCAAAATCTCACATTCGATGCTAATGCAAGCTGATTTAGCATTTAGCTTCACCAGATTAGGTTAACAGCAAAGAGACTTTTTGGTTCAAGCTGTGTAACTGTGTAACAAACGATGAGTTTCCAAAGTCAAGCCTCTAGAGGCTAGAGTCTAGCCTCACAGGAAAATATATATATATTTTTTTATTTATTTAACCAATTCTTTCCCATTTTCATTTTATGCAAAAAAAAAAAAGGGAAAAAAAAATGAAACTTTCCAGATTTGTCATTTTAGCACAATAAAACACAAAGAAAATCCTGGTATGTTTTTTGGGTTTCAGACTAAGACAAAAACGGTCTGGATGAAGCCTGAGCTCTGTGGCGTCTCACTGCTGTGGCGTCTCATGTGAAGAATCAGATCTTTTTGGTTGCTGTATTTCAGCCCGCATGTTGTGCATGGAAAGCGTTTCTCACTCGTGTGAATTGTTATGTGTTTAGTCAAAGTTCCTTTTTGACTGAAATTTCTGCCACAAATGGTACAAGAGAACGGTTTCTTACCTGTGTGAGTTCTCATGTGAGAAGTCAAATTAGATTTTTGAGTGAAACTTTTATCACAAATCGAACAGCAATATGGTTTCTCACCTGTGTGAATTTTGATGTGTCTATTAAGATTAGGTCTATAAGTAAAGCGTTTCCTACAGAAGTGACATTCAAAAGGCCTCTCTGCTGTGTGAGTTCTCAGATGCACATTGAAATCATCGATTTCTTTAAATGTTTTTTTACAGGTGTTACAGGAAAAAGGCCTTTCATCTGAGTGGGTTGTCAGGTGGTAGGACAAACTACCCTTTCCAGTAAAGCTTTTGTTACAGATGGTACAGGTGAACGGCCTCTCACCTGTGTGAGTTATGAGGTGTCTGTCGAGACCATATTGATCAATGAAAGTCTTTCCACAGGACGGACAGTCATAGATCTCCTTACCGCTGTGAGTTCTCATGTGAACCTTTAAATGGGTTTTCTTTAGAAAGCTTTCTCCACATGTCAAACATGGGAAGCATTTCTCTCCCTTGTGACATTTCAAGTGTTGAACTAAATCATTGTTCAGAGAAAAAGATTCGCCACAGATTGTGCAAGAGTGAGACCTGTTATCCGTGCGACTTCCCTCTTGCCTTTTAAGTGTTTGAACATCATTGTTATGCTCTTTGGTTTTCTGACATCCCTTATTCTCTGTGGGCCTTTTATCTCCCTCTGATCCGGAGTCTATTTCATGGATTTCTTCTGGATCCTGGTTCTGACTGTCACTAGAGTTCTGAGAGATGACTTGGTTGCTGATGGGTTCTGGTTCAGTTTGGCCCTTTTCTTCGTGATCAGAAATAACCTTAAATGTATCTCCTTCCTCCTGCTTGAGAAGCAGCTGCTCCTCCTGCTCACTGATGGGGAGCTCCATGGTTTCCTCTTTAGTCCAGGGATCTTCTGGCTTTAGCTGCTCTTCTTTCATCTGCAGAGGTTCTGGTTCCTCTTGGTCCAAACTGGAATTCCTCTCCTGTTTCCAGAGCTGCTGCTCAGAGAAATCCTCCTCTTTTCCAACCTGCAGGAGGTCTGGAAAGACAAACACAGGAGAAAGACGTAATGTTGGAGGATAAAGGAAGGAGACTTCACTTTAATCATCCATGTGTTGGTCTAACTGCTTATAACCAGACGGTGACTACATCCCCCAGCAGGCATTGCAACTCTCACACAGCATCTGCTACAATGTAATTCTGGCAATAGACTGAAATCTGAACTCCCTTCCCAGGACTGTTCAGCTCATTTCAGCTGGTTATGTTGAAAGTTGTCAATATTACACTGAAATTAGGCCCATCTCACGATTTTGATGAGTTCAACAATCACGGAAACTAACTTCCCTCCCTAATTACCCTCATAGGAAAAAAAGAGTGCTATGAAAGTATAAAGGCTGCACCCTTCAGACTGAGACTGGGGATTTTAAAAGCCCTTTTTTTTGTCTTTTAGGGTCTGCAGGGAAAGATGCAGCCTATGATAAAGCAACAAAAACAACAACAAAAAAACTCAAAACAACAACCTAGAACTGTTTTTAATGCAGCAGACAGCCTCCTTCCATTTTGTCTCCCAGTGCCTCCAAGCAATAGGGGTAAATGTTGGCATCGGGGTAAAATCACTATTTATTAGGGTTGTCATGATACTAAACTTTTCAACTCGATACCGATACTAAGGAAAATACTCGATACTCGATACTATTTTTGATACCACGAGGATAAAAACAAAGACTCCAAAATTCTACAGAAATATTTTCATTAATAAATAAAATACAATAAATAAAAACAATAAAGGTTGTTTGCTGTGCACAATATTAAGCGAGCTTGATAAAAAACTTATACAATTCAAATGAAGTGTTCCTTCCTTGGCTATGCTTTGCACACATAACAATGACTCTAGCCAAACCGGTTAAGAAACAAAAATAATTCTCAGCAGCTGCACCTCTTACAAAAAAAGTCTGAAACTGAAAAGTGCGTAGAATTATTCAATCACACACTGTTCTGAAAGTGCATTGTCCTCTATTCTGCACTTAAGATAAATGACTGCTTAGGTGCCACTGGTGACGGCACTGTATCGATACTTTTAAAAACGAGTATTGTATCCGGATACAACAATTAGTATCAATACTTTTTTGAGTTTCGATATTTTTGACAACCCTACTATTTATTGCCATATTTCTCCCAACTATCAAAATAAATGTATAGTTAAAGAGGAAGCAAGTGCTTCACAGTGGAGTCTTCCACTGTGATTGACAGTTATGCCACATATAGTGGAGAGAGAAATGGATGGATGGATGGATGGATGGANCCTCCCCCAAAAGAAGGTTACATTTTAGTAGATCTTTATCAGATAGTGCAGTTATACATTTTAAAGAATCTGCTTCACTTTCTCTTCTGTTTCGGTGAGCAGGGCTGCAGAGGGCAAAAGTTTAGTTTATTCACCTTCACATATTTTTTTGAAACATACAGCCAACTTCCAGGCAACTTAGCAAACTGATCAGCATTAATTTAAGATTTAAATGAAATAACAGCAATAGATTTAGTATTTTTTACTCTTTGAACAAACATGTTTCATTGTTTTAGGACAGTTTAGTCAACACTAGACTCCACACTCTAAACCCAGCCCTTTGGTTTCCCATAGATCATTTGTTATACCGGGTTTGCAATATTATATCTTATCTGTTCTGGTTTCCATGTAAACAGTGGAATTATCAATGTTCATGAAAGCTTTTCTCCAACCTTGCCTAGAAAAAAGGTCTTTAACCTGACAGATTATCATGTAATGAATGAAGGAGTTTCTAGATGGACATTTTTCTCACCAGTCAAACATGGAAAACGTCTCTACTGTTCATTCCTGAGGCGTCACACTGCTGTAACTTCTCATGTCGAGCATGAAATCTTTTTTTAAAACATAAGCCCCATTTCCACTACCCTAACATCGGTCCATGCATGGTAACCGCGATACCTGTTGAGTGTGAATGGAATGCAAACTTAACTGGACTGTGCTAGACACAACCGAAGCGCACTAAACTGGTACTAGTTCATCAGTAAAGCTCGGCGTGGTTCAGTTCTGGCTCGTTTTTCTGATAACAAAGAGCTCATGAGCAGACTGCGTCATCTCCTTACAGTCAGCTTCCAGTAGTTGGCAGTAATGTACATCATTATTGCTTGCCAACTGCCATAAAACAGAAGAACAACTGTAAACAACAATCGAAATCTTCTCAACACTACATTTTATTATGGCTTCAAAAGAGTGTGGTGATACTAAAGGCTGTCTTCTGTGCCTGACTCTCTGCAAACAACAAAATATCACAATTATAACCAAACGTAACTTCCTGAATGTTCTGGGCACCATTTTGATTTGCTTTATTCCCTCATTCAATTCTAGCAGTAGCACCATAGATCAGCACTAGGAGGCGAGGAACCCGCTAGCGTGGTGTATAAATGTAAGGAACCAAGTTCTGCACGGTCAACTGATCCAAGCTCGGTCCGAACTCGGCATGGATCTGTTTCAGAGGGTAGTGGAAACGGGGCTATAGTTTGTTTCACATGTTATGCATTAATAATGTTTCTCACCTGCGGTTCTGATGCGTTTCTTTAACTCTAAAAGAAACGGCCTTTCATCTGAGTGAGTCATCATGTATTTAAATGTTTTTTTTTTAGTCAAACGTTTCTCACAGATCATACAGGAAAACAAATTCTTACCTGTGTGAGTTCTCATGTGAACCATTAAATGTTCTTCCTTTAGAAAGTTTTTTCCACATGCCAAACATGGGAAAGGTTTCTCTTCTACGTCTCCTTCCTCCTGCTTGAGAAGCAGCTGCTCCTCCTGCTCACTGATGGGGAGCTCCATGGTTTCCTCTTTAGTCCAGGGATCTTCTGGCTTTAG